CTTTTAGATGTCATTGACCCCCTCATGTCTTCATACTTCCTTCTCTGTGTGACACACAAGCCCAGAAGTCCGAATTGACACTGTCGCCTTCCGCAAATACCCTATGTTCAGTGGGGAGGGGGTGGTAGGCGAAGAGCAACACCCAAACCGAATGGCTGTGGGTCGGGGACGGGGCCCAGGGAAAATTGGGGAAAGTAAAGGAAAATTTCCCGAGGTGGGGCCTTCCTGCCAGGAGACAGCTTTGTCCTTTCCCAAAAATTGGGGCATTGTTTGGCGATTTTTTCCATGTTGGTTTGTCCCCCTGGGGATGTTTGTGCTGTTTTGGGGGGGCTGGTCTACGGGGGAGTCTGTAAGGGTGTCCACCCAAAACGCGCTTCAGAAAATGGGGTCTTGGCTCCTCCCGTCTCTCGAGCGTTCGGGTAATTTTTTTGACTAACCCGGAAGCCAAACACGAAAACGAAAAAACAGGTAAAGAACTCGTTGCTTTAGACCCCTTACCCCCGTGCTATATATATATTAAATATAATTTTTAAATATATTTATATTATATTTTTATATATATATAATATTTAATATCTGCGCAGTTATTTGGGTTTATGTGCGCTTCGGGGGATGTGCCTGGGTTATACTCACCCCAAGATCTTTTTTGAGTGAGGGGTAAATTCTGGCCCCCCAGACTATACTCCCCTCGCGGTCTTCTTTGCCCTTCCCAATCTTCATGACTTTTCCCTTGGTTGGTGTGTTGGAATACCTATTTATACCACCTATTGTGGTTGCAGGGGTCGATCACGTCCTGGCCCCCCCCTCTTCGGATTGCTACTAGGTCCTCTCTTCCTGCCCATGGCTTATCTACCCCGGGGGACTAGGGAGAAATGGTCAATTTGCAAGAAAATTATTTAAAATTAAATCCCTTTTAAAAAATTTTCTCTTTTACGTTTTAAAAATATATTTTTTTCATGTATGTTTAAAGTAATAATTTAAAAATTTTTGTACAAAAGAAACCCTTTGAAAACTTACCCCCTTTTATAACAAAGGGAAATTTAATTTAACCTAATCCAACTAAATAATTTTTGATAAGTTGGAATATTTTTAAAAATAAACAAAACAATGAATATTTTCTTTTTCGTTAGGTCCAAATGATTAAAAAATATATATTTTCTTTTTTAGCATCTTAGATTTTTTTAACCCCCTCCCCCCCCCCCCCCCCCCCCCCCCCCCAAACTTTTTATGCAAAAAAAAAGGGGGGGTTAAGGGGGGGGTTTTTGATTTTTTTAATAATGTATAAAGAAAATATAGGATTACAAAAATGTATATTTTTATATAAAAAAGGGGAAAAAAATTAAAAATTTATAAAAATTTGACTGAGTCCCGGAGAAACGTTTGGGATAATTGAAAAATGGTTGGCCATGTGTTTCCACAACCGGAGGTTAAGGGTGGATTTGATATTTTACATTTAATATATTAAAGTATTTAATAAATTAAATTTTATTTATTTATATTAAAATATGAAATTATGGGGGAGCAATCATTTGAAGTATGGGTATTAGGAAAAAATTAAAGGCTTTTAGGAATAGGTGTTAGTGTTAGAAAAACCAACTTCCTTTAAAAGTAGTTTAGACAAAATTCATTGCCCAAAAATTTTTAAAAATAAAAAAGAGGGTTAAAAGAAAAATGCAAATTTCGGGTGGGATTTTGGGGAACCCTTCAAATGGGAAGGAAAATTTTTTTTTCTGATGATACTGGTTTTGAGAGAAAATTTCCCCAAGGTTGGTTTGGATGTGTTTAATAAAAGTTTGAAGTGAACTTAGAAAATTGGGATGAGGGTTTCCCCAAATTTGGAATAAAAAAAAATTTGGTAAGGGGGGTATAAAAATTTTGGGTTCGTACTTGGGGGTTACCCTTCCGGGTTATGGAAGAAGGTTTGCCAATTGGAAGGGGGAAAGGGGATTGCTTTTTTTGTGGAGCATATTTTTTCAGGAGCAAAAGGTTTATGAATATAGTTTTTTCCCCTTTTTGGGGGGAGGGCTTGGGTGGTTTAAAGAGAATTGGACTAATGTCCTGTCAACCCTTGGTGTAAACATGCCAGAATTGGGAATTGTAAATTGGGGTGGAATAAAATTAGTTAGTGAGGGGGGGGAAAGAGCCTTTGATGGTTGGGTCAGAGAAGGGTCAATAGAGGGAATGGAAAGCATAAAATCTATAGGGGGGAAAAGAGGAGGGCTGGGGTTAAAGAGAAAGGAGGTTTGTGGGGATTCCTTCGGTGTCCCAGGTTGTTGTTGGTGTGGGAGATGTACTTGGGATCCTAAAGTTGTATGGGGCCGGGAAAATTTGGGGGGTTCCAAACCCGGGTTTTTCATTTGGGGTTCCTGGAAATGGGAAGTACAAGGCAAAAGGGAGGGTGGGGGAAATTTTGCGTTTGGGGTTTGTTTAACTCTTCGATATTTTTAATATTATTTAAAATTTAAAAATTATAATTTTATTTAAATATAATTTAATATGGTAAAGTTATTTTTTTTTTGGGATTTTTTGGTTTTTTTTCCCCTCCTGTGGAGAGGTTTGTTAAAAAAAAAAAAAAAAATATTTTTTTTTTTTTGGGTTTTTTGGGGTTGATTGGTGTGTGTGGTGTTTTGGGTTTACTCCTATTTTACTCACCTATTGGGTTGCAGGGGTCGAGCCCAAGCTCCTGGCCCCGCCTCTTCCTGTGCTACTTGGTCCTCTCCCTCCCTTTTTCCCCACTGAGGGTTCTTCCCCTACTCGTTCCAAAATATTAGACACCTTTGGTAAAAATTTCCAAAATTGAATTTTTTCAATTAGTCCCTTTCTTTAAAATTTTCTTTTTCACCTTTAATTTTATTTTTGTATGGTTAATGTAAATAATTTTAAATTAATTTGTTACCCAAAAAGAACCTAATAGGGAAAAACTTAACCCTTATTAAATTAATCATTTCGGGAAATTTAATTTAACCTTAAATTCCAACTAAATTTTTTTATTTTAGGGGATATAGTTGAGTTTTAATTTAAATTTTTTAATAATATAACGATTAAAACCAATTGGAAATTTTAAAATTTTTTTTTCTTTGTTTTTTTTGGGTATTAGAATGAATTAAAAAATATTTTTTAAAGGGTTTTTTTAGCCAATCCCTTTTTTATTGGAAATTTTTTATACCCCCTTCCTTTTTTCCGCCCATTTTCCCCTCCCCCTCCCCCCCCCCCCTCCCCCCCCTCCCCTCCCCTCCCGCAGACTGAAATCCTGCTGCATTTTCTGCTGACAGGAGAGAAGAACTTAAAAATAATTCTGTCTACATTGGTAAAAATTGTCTGCCTATTTATAAATAGTTATTAAATACAGGTTTATAAGAGAAATTTTTTTGCATCTATTAATGAAATCAAGGGAGACAGAGATATCTATCTCACCCTTTTGACGAAGTTGTAGAGTCCGTGTGTCTGTGGCACTGTAGCGTAGCCCCAGTTCTACCCCATTGCCGGGGATGAAGTTGAGAGGCAGGAGACCTGGCACCCTAGTGTCTGGAGGCGGCGGTGTGCCCGCCTCCACCATTAACACCTCCACCGGACACCTCAGACAACCTCGCTCCCACTACACTCCCACCAGTCCCACCTCCAACTGCAGCAGTGGTGACAAGTGAGAGGGTTAGATTGGTGGGCTTGCACAAGCTTATCTTTGGGTTGCATTGAAAAATGGGTTGGGCAAATATTTTTGGTTAAGTGGGTTTGGGTTTTGGGGAAAAGACTGCTTGGCAAGGGCCAGTAGGTCTGCTCCAGTTCTCCTTAAGTTCTTAACTTGTTTTCGTTCTGGAGGATAGTTAAATCGTAAATGTTTTACAGATAAGTATACTTGTGGAAAATTGCATTTATCTGGATGTAAACTCATAATGTACATACCAGTAAATAACAAAGATTATTATTATTTATCAATTAGACAAGTAGGAATCTGGGACACCTAGGTCGCAAAAAATGTCCCCCTTCGATACCTACCACTGTCATATCCATAAGTTGCTCTGGACCTATTAATTAAATAAAATTATACAACACAGGAATTTCTGGTAAATATATAAATTTTTTGGGACTGTATATTAAAAATAAATAAATGGTTATATATATACACAATTACATAACAGAAGGAAAATATATCTTAATTATCACTCACACAATTTGACTGGAGATTAAAAGTTTTATCAAAACTCAGAAAACCTCACTCTAAACTAATCTATGAAAATTTAAAGCTGGCCAAAAATTACACACAAATTAGAGAGCTTAATCTGGGGTTCTGGGAGTGTTTTTGTCCAGTCGTCTGATATCTCAAGTTATGCAGGAATGGCACATCCACCAATTTCGCCCCCTTTTTTGAGAGGTGTCAACACAATTTTAACCTCTAGAGCACGAAAATTTTCCCATTTACCCAGTTTGTACAAAATTCAAACAAGTTTGCGAGTGTCTCCCAGCGAAGGTTTCCATTTTCGAATAAATACTTCTTTTAAAAATAAAAATATATTGGGCATCTATTTACCTAATAAATTACCGTATTTCCAGAAAATAATATAAGTATTTTCCCACATTCTGAAGTCATTATTAACAACTTTCACTAACTCAAAAATTCAGTGCTGTAACCTTTAAATTGTCGCTGTCATTACCGAATTACTGTCATGATATGAGATATATGAATTGCCCCCCGAAAATGCGCTATGGTCTTTTTTGGGGTTTTAAAAAAGCTTTTTGGGGAAGGAAAAAAGTTCACTAACCCCCGCCGGAGGGCTAAGTCCCTCAGAGGGATGAGCGGAGGGGGCCGAGAGATACTCCCTTTACCTGGAGAATTTTCTCTACACATTATATCCTTGTATTGATTAAGTCATTGGAGGGCCCAAAAGTCTAAAAAACTGAAGTTACCCAGAGGTTGTAATAGTAATGTAAATTTAATAGACCTCTCGGTGAATATATTCAGTTGCCAATAAGTGTTATGTTAATCCAGGTGTCTGACGACTTACCTATGTCTGCCTGCGTGTTGATGTTTAGTGTTGGGTAGCCGAGCTGCTTCCCACCATAGATGAATGCATCAGTCAGGGGTCCCTTTATGCCTGAAGTTATGCCCACGGGTCCTCCCAGCCCCAGGAAGCTCTCTGTGACACATATTTTCAGTAAACTTTTGAGGATTGTTATAAAATAATTGAACAGTTATTAAAGTGATTAGTATAATGTAGAAGAGGACACTTGTGTACAGTTCTGGACCCTGACACTTGTGCAACACTTGGGGATCTTTATTGTTGGACTGAGGAAGCCACTGATTGGCGAAACGTTTCCATAATAAAGGTACCCAAATGTTGCACAAGTGTCTAATTCATCAACCTGTCGTTTTCTGAACCATTTACCTACAGTTCTGGACATGTATTAAATGAAACATTACGTCACAAGTGTCTTCATCAGTCCTTCATTAGCACTGACAAAACCAATCGTGACGAAACATTTTCCAGAACTATATATAATTATCCTTTCCAGCGTGTGGGTATCACCACACCAATTGCAACCAATTATGTTAGTGTTTAATTAGCAAATAGAAAAATTAGCTTGCGTATATATAGCCTTTTACATGTAAGAAAGCTTTGTATTAATATACTTTGTTTAAAAATAAATTATTATTAATTATCATTATTAAATAAATGAGGTTGGAAAAGTGCCCACGGTAAAGCATTCCTCAACTATGGAGGTAGCAACAAGGTAGAGTTAAAATTAACATAGTTATAATACACAGACCTTCTTGACTCGTTTGTGTGCAACAGTAGTCTTCAGCCTTGACGAAGTAAGGGAGGATAGAAGCGTAGTCCCAGCCAGGGTTACCTAGTGCTGCCCACTGGTTAAAATCCCTGGGGTTGCCCCTGACATAGAACATACCGTTAGTTGAGGAGCTTCCACCCAGGGTGCGTCCCTGGATGACACGACCTACCTGTCAAGGTACACTCAACATCACACACACCTCCACCTAAAAGGTCACAACATGCGCCACAGGTAATGGCGCAGCCGCGGGATTCAGGGGATGATGCTACAAGAAATTAAAATACTTTTTTTTTCAATTAATGGCTAATTTTCAATATTATATTGACCAGTTACCACGAGAGCACGATAGTTAAGAAATTTTATATTATATATATATATATATATATATATATATATATATATAATATATATATATATATATATATATATATATATAGACAACATTTAGGCAACTTTATTTCGAAATGTTTCGCCTACACAGTAGCCTACTGTGTAGGCGAAACGTTTCGGAGAGAAAAGTTGCTTAAATGTTGCCTATGTGTCTTACCTACCAAACCTGTCGGTATTGTATTGTTTACCATTTTGATATTCATATATTAATATATATATATATATATATATATATATATATATATATATATATATTTATATTAAATATATATATATATAATTATATATATATATATGAATATATATTAGGAGGTACCACCTCTAGAACTGTCATAGGGACCCTCATCCTCAGAGAAAAGAATAAACTTGCTTCAGGGAAAACTCAAGGTTTTCCCTGAAGCTGTTTGAGAATTTTCTCCTACCACCCCCTATATTTCAAGTATGTTTTATTTAAAGACAAAAATACATTGACCAAACATTCACAAAAATACAACAGAAAGCAAAACAACATAGGTAACTCAGAGCTACATCTCGAATACTTCGTCCAGCTCCCCTGCAGTGGGCCACGTGCCCAGAATGCTGCAGGCATTTCCTCTCTGGATCGCAACACTGAGTCTCTGAAAGAGAAAGCTGGTCGCCCTGTGGTCCTTGGTTTCTATGATGAGCTTTTCACCCAGCTCTTTGAGGAACTTTAGAGCACACTTGCCCCATGCTCCAAGGGTCTCCGACCCTATTGGAATGAAGTTATAGCAAGGGGGAAGGTCTTCATATTTTCGGATCTTCTGGGTCTCCCCGTAGCTGGCAGCTCCACCCCCTTCCACTACGGAGTATGGCAAGTAGGTGTCTGCCAATGTGGCAGCACAGGTGTAGTCCCAGGCAATCTGCTTTCCATCCTTCCAGGGTAGCATAGTGGCTCCGTCAGGACGCTTTTGACTTCCATCAGACCTCTGTACTTGGGGTTCCCGTTGAGCTGGGCAACGGGCTGTGGCGAGGCTTCTCTTTATGATGTCATTGACCTCCTCATGTCTGTCATACTTCCCTTCTGCTGTGTGACACACAAGACCATGAAGTCCGAATTGATCAGCTGTCGCCCCGCCCCAATACACCTATGTTCAGTGAGGATGGGGGTGGCTAGGAGAGCAACACCAAACGAATGCCTTTTGGGTCGGGTGCCCGTGAATTGGAACAGCTAACAGAACTCCTGTGTGGGTTACTCCAGGAGACGACTTTGCCTTTCCAGAGCATTGGAGAGCATTGTGTTGGCGATTTTTTCCTGGGTTTGTCCCAGTGGACTGTTTTGCTTTTGGGAGGAGCTGGTCTATGAGGAGTCTGTAATGTGTACCACAATCGCCTCTCAGTACGGGGTTTGATTTCCTTAACTCTCTCGAGGACATCCCCTTAGCTCTGACTATTTGTTCACCGGAAGCCAAACAAAACAAAGCAGGTAAGCAATGCGTTGCTTTACGCACCCCTATACTCCCGTCGCATATATATATAATTAATAATAATATATTATAAATTCTAATATATATATATAAGTATATTTTTATATGCTGCAGCAGTTATTTGGTTGATGTGCGCTTCAGGAGTATGTTGCGTTTATACTCACCCCAAGATCTTTTTCCTTGAGTGAGGTTTGTAGTCTCTGGCCCCCTAGACTATACTCCGTCTGCGGTCTTCTTTGCCCTTCCCCAATCTTCATGACTTTGCACTTGGTGTGTGTGTGTGTGTTACTTTTTATACTCACCTATTGTGTGGTGTGCAGGGTCGAAGTCACAGCTCTGGCCGGCCTCTTCGTATGACTACTAGGTCCTCTCTCTCCCTGCCCCATGAGCTCTATCATACCTCGTGCCGACTATGTAGAACTGGTCAATTAGCAAGAATTCATTTAAAATTAAGTCCTTTCTAAAATTTTCTCTTTTACGTTTAAAGATATATTTTTTCATGTATGTTAATGTAATAATTAATAATTTTGTACCAAAAGAACCTTAGAAAACTTACCTTATTATAACAAGGGAAATTTAATTTAACCTAATCCAACTAAATATATTTTAGATAAGTTGAGAATAATTTAATAATAAACGAAAACAATGAAATATATTCTTTTTCGTTAGGTCCAGAATGATTAAAAAATATATATGTTTCTTTTCAGCATCTTATGATTTTTCAACCCCCCCCCCTCCCCCCCCCCCCCCCCTCCCCCTCCCCCCTCCCCCCTCCCCCCTCCCGCAGACTGAAATCCTGCTGCATCTCTGCTGACAGGAGAGAAGAACTTAAAACTAATTCTGTCTACATTGGTAAAAATTGTCTGCCTATTTTATAAATAGTTATTAAATACAGGTTTATAAGAGATTGGTGCATCTATTAATGAAAATCAAGGGAGACAGAGATATCTATCTCACCCTTTGACGAAGTTGTAGAGTCCGTGTGTCTGTGGCACTGTAGCGTAGCCCCAGTCTACCTCATTGCCGGGGATGAAGTTGAGAGGCAGGAGACCTGGCACCCTAGTGTCTGGAGGCGGCGGTGTGCCAGCCTCCACCACTAACACCCTCCACCTGGACACCTCAGACAACCTCGCTCCCACTACACTCCCACCAGTCCCACCTCCAACTGCAGCAGTGGTGACAAGTGAGAGGGGTTAGATTGAGTGGGACTTGCACAAGCTTATCTTTGGGTAGCATTGAAAAATGGGTTGGGCAAATATTTTTGTTAAGTGGGTTTGGGTTTGAGAAAGACCTGCTTGGCAAGGGCCAGTAGGTCTGCTCCAGTTCTCCTTAAGTTCTTAACTTGTTACGTTCTGGAGGATAGTTAACATCGTAAATGTTTTACAGATAAGTATACTTGTGGAAAATTGCATTTATCTGGATGTAACTCATAATGTACATACCAGTAAATAACAAAGATAATTATTATTTATCAATTAGACAAGTAGGAATCTGGGACACCTAGGTCGCAAAAAATGTCCCCCTTCGATACCTACCACTGTCATATCCATAAGTTGCTCTGGACCTATTAATTAAATAAAATATACATACACCAGGAATACTGGTAAATATATAAATTTTGTGGACTGTATATTAAAAATAATAAATGGTTATATATATACACAATTACATAACAGAAGGAAAATATATCTTAATATCACTCACCAATTTGACTGGAGATTAACGTGTATCATACTCAGAAAACCTCACTCTAACTAAATCTATGAAAATAATGCTGGCCAGAATTACACACAAATCTAGAGAGCTTATCTGAGGTTCCTGGAGCTGTCTTGTCCAGTCGTCTGATATCTCAAGTTATGCAGGAATGCACATCCACCAATTTCGCCTCCTATTTGAGAGGTGTCAACACAATTTTAACCTCTAGAGCACGAAAAATTCTTCCCATTACGCCAACGTTTGTACAAAATTCAAAACCAAGATAGCGAGTGTCCTCCCCAGCCGCAGGTTTCCCATTTTCGATAAAATACTTCTTTTAAAAATACAATATAGGGCATCTATTTACCTATAAATTACCGTATTTCCGGAAAATATATACAGTATTTTCCACAATACTGAAGTCATTATTAACAACTTTCATCTAACTCAATAATTCAGTGCTGTCAACACTAATTTGTCGCTGTCATTACGAATCTACTGTCATGATATGAGATATTATGAATGTAATTTAAGACCACTAGTTCCAGTCAAAACTAAATTTTTGATTCGTAGCTTATAAGCCACAGGTTATAAGTCACAGGCTGTAAGTCAGGCTATAGGTCACAGGCTGTAAATCACAGGCTAGAAGTCATAGGCTGTAAATCACAGGCTGCAAGTCACAGGTTGCAAGTCACAGGCTGCAAGTCACAGGCTGTAAGTCACAGGCTATAAGTCACAGGCTGTAAGTAACAAGTCTATTTAGCAATTTAATAATTGTCTATTTAACAGTTCTATTTAGCGTCAGAAAGTGAGTTGCGGGGTTGTTGGTGACTGGTCACCAGGGTAAGGAGAACCAGCCCCCGGGGACACAAACATCACCACGGTGGTAAGGTAATCCAGTGTAAACTTAAATAATGTGATCCTATCTGGAGAGGCACAAGGTGTCCCCGCAGTAAGGTAACAGTGACGCAGGTCTTGAATCTCGCCACCACGGTAAGGTGTAAGTTTATTTAGGTACAGGTACACAAAAATACAATTATCATACATAGTGCAAATTATCTAGGATAACCCCAGAAAAGTCAGACAAAATTACTTGTTTCTATTAGTGACAACTTGGAGAAACAAACTTCGCTTCCCCAGTACAGTCATGCTCCGCATAACGACGTTTCGGTCAGTGACAGACCACATATACGACGATGGTGTAAACAAACCTACTGCGCTGCAGTCGTATAAAAGTATAGCACATAAAATTATGTACGGTACATAATACTTGATAATGATAATAAACAACTAGAGTGTACTCTTTCCTTTGCAGACCTCAACAAGCTCCTTAAAAAGTGAAAACATGGACCTCAACACCGAAAAGTTTCCTTTAAAGTTTAATAGAAAGGAATGTTCATGGTGCATTTTCTGCTTACAAGCAAATCAATGATGAAAAAAAACAAACCATATAGCCTAGGTGTGTAGTAGGCTATACCATTTAGGTTTGTGTAAGTACACACTAAATCTATGAAGTTCGCACGACGAAATCGCCTAACGACTCATTTCTCAGAACTTATCCCCATCGTTAAGCGAAGCATGAGTATGATAAAACACGAAATGGGATATAACACATATGAAAAGAACTCGAGATCAAAGAAAGTAGCATGAGTACTAAGAAGATCACTGACTTATGATGAAGTCATACGAGGAGGCTAGGTGGGTGTGGTGAGTGAAGGTGTGTGAGCCTGACTCCTTCACTGTCAGCAGGAAGCGTACAGCAGGCAGCACCACACACAATATCATCCCAATGGTCAAGTCTGCAGCCAGGCGTAACTTCATACACGGAAGCATCTCTGGGGACACAACAAGACGATTAATGATGGTTGCGAGTGCTGGAATAAAACTGTATATATCAGCAGGGCTCTGCTACCCTATTCTAAAGGAAACGTTTCGCCACGAGTGGCTTCTTCAGTCCTAATACAGAGATAACTTTTGATAAGACTGATTCGTCAAGAACTGTGTCTTGACACGGGTCTTAATCATAAGAAGACCCTTCTGAGGATCTCGAAGGAAATGTCGATATAATTCAGATGTCCTGTGGTGAGATGAGGGTCTTGATGTGGTCCCTGTGCGTTCCACTACAAAATATTTTATGTACAACAACGGGCTGAGGCCATCAGGCCCCGCATCATTATCTCTGGGCCCTGTGTTGGGTGGTCGGGTAAATTTACAAATAAACGCGTGGATTCTGTGTTGTTCATTTTGCATATGTTGACGAAGGTCTTCACAATGCTTCCGAATGTCTCTTTGTTTTCTTCTGTCAGGTCGCATATGATAGCTGACATAATTTGATGGTTCAGGGTGATACGGGGTGTCCTGCTATGCTCTCTTAGGCTGCAGTGCTCCTAACTGGTGACTGTTGTGGTGCTACAGTTGTCGCGTTGGCTGTTGTCTGTTCCTGCAGCATGGGACCTGCTGGCTACCATTGTCACGTTGGCTGTAGTTTGTTCCTGCAGCATGGGGACTGCTGGCTACCGTTGTCGCGTTGGCTGTAGTCTGCTCCTGCAGCATGGGACCTGCTGGCTACCATTGTCACGTTGGCTGTAGTTTGTTCCTGCAGCATGGGGCCTGCTGGCTACCGTTGTCACGTTGGCTATAGTCTGTTCCTGCAGCATGGGGCCTGCTGGCTACCGTTGTCACGTTGGCTGTAGTCTGTTCCTGCAGCATGGGGCCTGCTGGCTACCGTTGTCACGTTGGCTGTAGTTTGTTCCTGCAGCATGGGGACCTCTGGCTACTGTTGTCGGGTGAGCGTTTTAGCAAGAGATACAGAAGCTGGCTGAGGAAGGGCACGACCAAGTCGCTGATGTTTCCTCGGCTTCCTTCGTTGCTGTGGATGGGAAAGTAGCATTGTATTCCGTGTAGCCTCTGAACGAAGCTGCTGCTCAGTGGTGAGGGCTCTACTTGGCGTTGGAGGCTGGACAACTGGGGTTTTCCATACTGCCCTGACCTGGCGGAGCCTCTCAGAGCGGCGCAGATTCAAGGCAGAAGTTTGGAGACCGAGGCTCCATAGCCTCTCCTTTTAGTTCATCCAAGCAGTTCTTGGTCGGGTGAGATTTAGATTTTTAGATTTTGCCACCGAAGTGGCTAGTTTATTGTGCACCCCATATCATCCTGTGGACGGTAGCGCAAGAGCATGTGGATACACAAAAGGCCCAGGAACTAGGCCCCATGGGGTTAACATGAATATATATGGATTTATATCTACATATCTCTAGTTCACTTATCTGTTACAAGCAAATTTAGGAAATTTTCTTAGTATATCTGGTATCTTATTTTCATTAATAAGATATCTTAACATGTCACATAGGTTATTATACTGTCTATTTCTGTATTCCTTAATAAGTGGGCAATTAAGCACATAGTGTTCAAGACAGTGACCATATGCCTGATCACATAATTTACATTTAGTTTGATCATCTGTGTGTCTCCCAAACTGTCAGAAGTACTTGTAACCAAGCCTAAGCCTGGCCACTACAACATCAGTCAGTCTGTTCACATTGCAAGTTGCTCCATAAACACACTTATCTACGTTCATGTTATCATAGTGGGTTATAGATCTAATCAGGCTTCTAATTGTATTCCTATTGCAATCATTTTCATTATTTACTTCTCCCCTAATATTATTCCTAATGATAGACACAGTTATACCAAAGTTATATTCTACATTCTCCTTCTGGGTACTCTTCTCGGCTAACATATCAACTTTATCATGAAGGAGTAATCCAATGTGTGATGAGATCTATAGCAACTGTACATTAATTCCTTTGTCCCTGATTTTTGAGTATCTATACCTGGCTTCTCCAATGAGCATGTTATTGGAGTCATTATGTAAGTTAAGAGCCTTCAATGATGACATATAATCAGTAATGATGATAGAGTCAACCTCAGTGTCATAGGTTAGCTTTAGCACTATTAGGATTGCAAACAATTCAGTTTGCAGTGTAGACGCCCAGTTGTTAATTCTTATGCCTAACTCAAATTTATTATGGTTCTTAACTAGGGAGGCAACAAGAGCAGATGCAGCCCTGCCAGAAGACTCCTGTTTAGATCCATCAGTGTATATAACTTGTGATAACTTATTACTACCAGCTAGACCAGAAATTTCTCCTTGAGCAGTTGCTTTAACAAGTGATTTAAGGAAGGGATTACTAGCAATGAGCTTCTTGGAAGGGACTTGCAGGTATGTGATATTAAATAAACACATCTTCCATGGAGGGGTGAAATGCTCTTGTTGCCTACAGTGATACAGTTCATGCTGATTATAAAACTTAATATAATTGCACTTTTTCACAATCCATTTAGATCTGTGTGTATTTACCTCTAGACACTTAGTAAGATTCATTGTGACAGAGTCTGGTTCATTTCTTAACATTCTAATACCGAGTACAGTGTTAATCTCAACAATCCTATCACTGATACTAGAAATACCAAGCTCCTACCTCGTATTAAGAACCTTTGTAGATTTGGGACACCCAAGAATAATTCTGAGAGCTTCATTTTGCATTAACTCCAAGGGTCGGAGAGAACTTTTTCTAGCTAATGTAAACATGGGAGCAGCATAATCAATTAAGGACCTAACATAGACTATGTACATCATTCTCACGATTCTCACATTAGCACCATAGTTGGGGTTGTAGCCAGCAACAGTTTTGAGAGCATTGCTGTAGATACCGCATACTCCTTTAGACATCGGGCGCTAAGGTGGTTTTACCTGAAGCACCTCAAAGGTTCTGGATTTTTGCTTGCCTTATTTGGCAAGAAGAGAGTTGCTGTTTAAGCCAAAATCGGAAGTTTTACCTATTCGGTACGACATATATATATATAAACACTGATCTCTGGCTGAAGGAGACTCGAATCTACGAACCTTGGAACAAGGTACGCAGTGCTATGTCATTCTCACCACACTGGACCAATACCTTGGCGTCCAGCTTGCGCTAGACGTTGATCCAAGGCAGCCAGCTTTCAGGAAGAAGGCTTACAGTGTGGTGAGAATGGTATAGCACAGCGTACCTTGTTCCAAGGTTCGTAGGTTCGAGTCTCCTTCAGCCAGAGATCAGTGTTTGTGTATATTTCGCCTGCTCTTGCGAATTCCTTGTATATATAAAATATATATATATATATATATATATATATTTATATTATATATATATATATATATATATATTAATAATATATATATATATATATATTATATATATATACAAACATACAAACAGAACTGCAGTTGGCCGGGATTCGATCCTGCATCCCTCTATCCACTGGACCAGTCGGCCGCTTCCCACCGAGGCAGGGTGACCCAAAAAGAAAGAAAAATCCAAAAAAGAAAGAAAAATCCAAAAAAGAAAGAAAAGCTTTCATCATCATTTAACACTTACATCATCACTCATACATAATCACTGTTTTTGCAGAGGAGCTCAGATACAACAGTTTAGACGTCCCTCGAAACTGCCAATATCCCAAACCCCTTCCTTAAAGTGCAGGCATTATACTTCCCATTTCCGGGACTAAAGTCTGGCTAACCAGTTTCTCTGAATCCCTTCACAAAATATTACCCTGCTCAAACTCCAACAGCTCAAGTCTCAAAAACCATTCGTCTCCATTCACTTCTACCCAATACGCTCATGCACGCTTGCTGGAAGTCCAAGCCCCTCGCCCACAAAACCTCCTTTACCCCCTCCCTCCAACCTTTTCGAGGACAACCCCTACCCCGCCTTCCTTCCCCTACAGATTTATACGCTCTCCATGTCATTCTACTTTGATCCATTCTCTCTAAATGACCAAACCACCTCAACAACCCCTCTTCTGCCCTCTGACTAATACTTTTATTAACTCCACACCTTTTCCTAATTTCCACACTCCGATTTTCTGCATAATATTTACACCACACATTGCCCTTAGACAGGACATCTCCACTGCCTCCAACCGTCTCCTCGCTGCTGCATTTACCACCCAAGCTTCACACCCATATAAGAGTGTTGGTACTATTATACTTTCATACGTTCCCTTCTTTGCCTCCATAGATAACATTTTTTGTCTCCACATATACCACAACACACAACTCACCTTTTTTCCTTCACCAATTCTATTGTTAACCTCATCCTTCATAAACCCATCCACTGACAAGTCAACTCCCAAATATCTGAAAACATTCACTTCCTCCATACACCCTCCCTCTAATGTGATATCCAATTTTTCTTTATCTAAATCATTTGAGACCCTCATCACCTTACTCTTATCTATGCCAATTAACAGCGTGACAGTGTCAGCGTGCCTCGTTGTGCTCCGGGTTTTCTGGTGTTTTCACGGTCGCTCTTACGTGCTAGAACTTTAATTTGTGCCATCAATCCTATACGATACATCCCTCTAGCGCCTGGAACCAATCTTGGGCGGAAAACATTATATACTGAGTCAAAAAAGGAGAATTAGTGTGCACTACCTAGCAGAGTTTACTGCCAGAGGGGAATCATAGGCCTGTGTCCCGTGTGAAAAAATAATAATAATTGAACTTTGTGTCAGAGGAAAGAAAGTCTCCCTGAAAACATTGAGTATACATAGTGTATAGTGTATACTACAGTGGCTCCCTAGTATATTGATGATAAGGCTAAAGTGTCATTTGAAAAACAGGTGATTTGTAAATGAAGTGATAACCCTATAGAGGCAGGTGCCAGAAGTCCCCAGAAATTACCACAGGTCAGCTGTTTTTAATAATCTCCTGGCTTGCTAGTGTACTCGCATATAATCTAGTGATACCAGTGAATAGCAGAATACAGT